GAATTCCAGATTGTGGGTTTGGGAAAGGAAGAATTGTCTTGGGCGTGTGGGAGCTATGTTGATTTTAGGTATGTTGGTGTTCAAAGTTCTTGGTAGACACGAGTGGATATCTCTAGTAGCAGTGGGCTTTACAGGTGTGCCGCTCAGGAAGGAGTGGGTGTGGAGGAGAAAGCTGAAACTATGGGTGTCTTTGAGCTCATCCAGGAGGAGTACGCAGAATGAACGAGGAGTGGTAGTGAACATTCTGAAACTTTGGTTGGCAGTGTAGAAGAGGCAGGCCTTTAGGGAAAATGGCTTAGATACCGAAACCTTAGGTGAATTGCATGCTGTATTTTATTTTTAATGAAAAATATTATGGTATAGACATTTAATAGTAAATAACTGAAATTTTTGGAAAGAATCTTCATTTTTTCAGTTGATAAAAATGTCCTCAATGAAAACATTTTATCAAGGTTCAGAAGAGGGGGAGAGAGAAGGAAAAAGAGAAAAGAAAAAACCCATATAATAAAAACTTAGATGTAGAAACTCTTTTAGGTGCTCTATTTATATCCTGTAGTCCTCACAACAACCCTGAAAGGAAGGAAGGGCAATAACAGAGCAGAGCAGAGTTCTAACATCAGAGGGGGAAAGTTTGGGGACAGGGCTGGGCCAGGATCTTGATGAGGCAGAACTTTTGCCAATGGCTGACAGGGCAGCAAGCATAAAGGGGGAAAATGAACTCTCCCTTTGTTCACTGTCTTTAAGAAGTATTTATATCCAGTGTAGAACAGATTTAGAGCATTAGGTGTAGGGCATGGACCACCTGGGATTGAACACCAGTTCCACCACTTAATAGTGTCATCTCAGACAAATTATTGGGGTCTTGCTGTCACTTGGTTTCTTTAGCCTCTTTTCATCATGATCTTAAGAATAGTTAACTTCTTTTTCATTCCAGTAAATAGTGTTCTTTCCATTGCATTATGTAGGCCAAAAACCTAGGGGTCATCTGTAATTCCTCTGTGTCCCTCATCTCCTCTTTCCTGCCAGTCCAATCCATCAGCAACTCTTACTGGGTCTACCTTCAGAAAATATCCCAAATGTATCCATTCTTTCTCCACCTCTGTCACCCTTATCCACGTCTCTACCATCTCTTGTTTGGAACACAGAAAAAGTCCCATAACTGACCTCCTTGCTTCCATCTTTGCCTTTCTTTAGTTTACCCTTGGCAGCCATAGTGATCTTTTAAAAATGGCACTCACGCAGGGGCCCCTGGCTGACTCAGTTGGAAGAACATGTGCTCTTGATCTCAGGATCATGACTTTTGATCCCCACCTTGGATGCAGAGATTACTAAAAAAAATAAACTTAAAAAAAAATGGCATTCATATCATTGTCAAAAAGATCACCTCACTCCCTTGAGTGACACCCTTTCCTGTGGCCTATAAGGCCCTATGTTTATCTGATACTTGCTTTCCTTTTGGACCTTGTTCCTCCCACTCATCTTTCAGTCCTACTGGGTGCAAACACATTACCCTAATCCTGTTAATCTGACTTGTTTCTGCCTTGGAACATTTGCACTTGTTTATTTTCCCCAAGGTTGTCTTCCCTCAGACTGTCACAGAGATGTTTCCTAACTATTTAGGGCTCCACTCAAATAACATCTCCGGAGGGAGGCTTCCTGTGACCGTCCCCATGACCCCCCACCCCTGATAAATTGGACTTTTCTTTTACTCAGTCACTTTCTGTGATGGCACCCTCTTTTAATTCCTTTATAGCACTCATGTCATTATCTGTAATTATTTATTTGCTTACTTGTTTGTTATTTCTCCATGGTGTTTCTATTGTCTACAATAGTATCTACCCATGGTAGCCATTCTATCAGTATTTGTTTAATGAATGAATATATTACCTGAAAAATTGTTGAAAAGGTGCCACTTTTGAAGAGAGTGATCAGAGGATTTGATTTCTGCTGTTTCCTCCCTATATATATGCTTTTTAAAAAAAAAGTAATCTCTAGGGGCACCTGGGTGGCTCAGTCAGTTAAGCGTCTACCTTGGGCTCAGTTCATGATCCCAGGGTCCTGGGATCGAGCCCTACGTCAGGCTCCCTGTTCAGTGGGGGCTGCTTCGCCCTCTCCCTCTCCCTCTGCCCCTCTCCTCTACTTGCATTGTCTCTTTCTCTCTCTCAAATAAATAAATAAAATCTTAAAAAAAAAAAAAAGTAATCTCTATACCCAATGTGGGGCTTGAGCTCACAACCCAGAGATCAAGAGTTGCATGCTCTTCTGAATGAGCCAGCCAGGAGCCTCTTCCTATATATGCTTTGACACACATTTTTTTTCCAGCTTTATTGGGTATGATTGGATATACCATAAACTGTACATATTTGAAGTACAATGTAATGAGTTTTGACACTGTGGGATCATCATCACAATCAAGATAATGAACATGTTCATCCTCTCAAGAGTTTTCTCGTGCCCCTTGTAATCCATCCCTTTTCACTGCTCTTCTCTCATCACCTCCTCCACCTGGAATGCCCTCCACTCCCACCCCAAGCAACCACTGATCTAGCTGCATTCTGGCACTATAGATTAATTTGTGGTTTTGAGGATTTCATATAAATGGAATCATACAATATGTACTTTTTTTTGGTCTGGCTTCTTTTGCTCAGCATAATTATTTGAGATTCATCCATGTTGTTGTATATGTGTTCCTTTTCGTTGCTGAGTGGTATTCTGTTGCATGGATATCCTACACTTTGTTTATCCATAAACTTGTCGATCAGTTTCTAGTTTTGAATGCTTACAAATAAAGCTGCCATGAGCATTGTATGGGCATGTTCTTTCATTTATTTTGAATGAATACCTCAAGGAGAGGAATGGCTGGGTTGTATGCCAGGTACATGTTTAACCTTGCCCATTTTCAGATCCCTCTTTTAGTTTTAAAGGAATCGGGTTAGGTGAAGGATTTGTCACCTCCCTATGGTGACACAGCTTTAAAAGTGGTGGAACTGAGATGGAATTCTAGATCCATGTGAATTCAAAGTCTGACCTTTTCCAGAAGACTATGCTTGGTCCACCTCTGGCCTGGCTGTCTGTATGGCCTGTTGAGAAAGTGAATATTGGAGAATATGGCTGGTATGGGGCAAGTAGGTCCTTTACTAAAATTTGGAGTGAGGGATGAGTTTAGCTAGCTCAGTGGTTCTCTATGAAGGGTGATTTTTGCCTCTCTCCCCCCTCAGGACATTTGGCGATGTCTGTAAACATTTTTGGCTATCTTACCTATAGAGTATTACAAAGGCTTCTAATGGGTAAAGTCCAGGGATGCTGCTAAATATCCTACAATACACAGGACATCTCCCCCACAACAGAGAGATTTCCAGCCCCAAATGTCAATGGTGTCAAGGCTGAGAAACCCTGATTTAGCTGATTGGTTTAAGCTACTCAGGACACACTGCTGAAGCAGAAGGTTGGATCAAACTGCATGGCTGAGAAGCCTGAGGTGGGGGTATTTCCCTAAAAGAAATGCAGCCCATGACAGGAGGAGGAGGAATGCTGGGCAGCAATCAACATGAGCTAGATGTTTCCAGTTCTCTTTTGGCTACTTACATTCACTCATACTCTTCTTTCCATATTATAAAACCCACTCACTTATTTCTCAAAATTGTATCCAGTTACTGCAACAGCTCCGAGTCCAGGATTTCAGTTGTCTTGAGTCTGGATCTTGCAACCAATGGCTAAATAATACACCATTAACCCTAACACAATTGATATACCATGGTGGAGAGAAGACAGGATAGATACATATAATGAAAAGGTTTGGCCCTTTAGTCTTACAGATGGTCTTGGGCCACAGACATGGCACTCCTCCTTTGGTATTTGGGGTAGACGGTGAAGGGGTTGCTGAAACTATTCAGACTTCCCTGAGCCATCAACCCACCATCAGGGACCTCAATGTGAAATTCAATTATAATTTTCTTTTGCTTCATTTGAGAGACAAAGGGGAAGGAACAAGACAATAGGGGCATTGATAGGGAAGTTTAGAGATGTTTTCATTGTACCTCAGAACTGCTATAACCTATGAGAAGAACCTAGTGATCTTGGCTTATTTTATTTGAAATTATGGGCATAATATAGTAGTCTTAATTGATCCCTAGGGAAGACAATGTTGCCAACGTACCAGGAGTCTCAGGCTCTATTTTCGAATTTTCTAGTAGGCTTCTACCTTCCATTCATGTCTCTTTTCAGTTTCAATCCCTTTCCTTCTCTTCGAATTATCCACCTCCACTCTACAGACTTGTTTTGCACCTCGCAACTTTCACAGCATTGGAATGTAGGTGTAGTCACCTTCATGGGCTGCAATTGCAGGTGTCATTTTTTTTCCTTACCTCGAATTAACTTTTTGTCAAAGCAACTCCTTCCAAGTTCCAGAAGCAGGCATCCTCTCTCATTGTTTGAGAGATTGCTCACCAGGTGACTATTTACTGTTGAAATTTAGTTTCCTGCTTTCCAACACATGTCTAGAGCAGGTAAGATGAGTGCAACGTGAACCCAACATGCAAACATTTACTGGGCCACATTCCCTGTACCACCTCCTTCCCCAGAAGCTCTGTTGTATCAGAGCTCAAGTGTTCCCAGGAGGCTGACCATCAGAATGCTAGCACGGCAGTCTAACAATATTGAAATTGCTTTACATGAGTCGTGGAAATAGCTGACATAATTTCCTTCAAGATAACAGGAGGGTTATTTCCTAATTTTGGTCTTCTTTTATCATGCAATCACATGACGTGTGTGTGTATATATATATATACACACACACACACATATACATATATATATATATATATATATATCTTTTACCTCTCATGGCTCTTCTAGTATTTGAAAGAAATTTTCTAAGCTATAATAAAGGGTTTTGCAAAACAAAGCAGGGTTCAGGAATGGCTGGCATCATCGGGTGTCGGTGTCTTCTTGTCTGCGTGACTTGACGTGATTGCATCCAGTGTCCTTGCATTCGCTAACAGGTTGAAATGCAGATCTTCATGAAGACCCTGACCAGCAAGACCATCACCCTGGAGGTGGAGCCCAGTGACACCATCGAAAATGTGAAGGCCAAGATCCAGGATAAAGGAGGGCATCCCCCCTGACCAGGAGAGGCTCATCTTTGCCAGCAAGCAGCTGGAAGATGGCCGCACTCTTTCTGATTACAACATCCAGAAAGAGTCGACTCTCACCTGGTTCTCCACCTGAGGGATGGCTGTTAATTCTTCAGTCTTGAATTCATAGTGCCCAATGATGGCATTGCTCTGCACTGTAGCCATTTGCCCCAATTTAAGTTTAGAAACTACCAGTTTCAGTAACAGCTGAATCACTGGTTTTCTCAGTAGCTGTTCAAAATGTTAATAAAAGTTTTGTTGCTTGGTAAAAAAAAGAAAGAAAGAAAGAAAGAAAAGCAAATCAGAAAATTGGAAGCAGGAGCAAAGAAGAATTTATTTTTGATACTGACTTTGTTATTTTTCTGGTTTAGATGCAACAGATGTTATTAATAATAATAACCAACACAATAACTAATATTAATTGAGCACTTCAAATGTTCCAGGCATAGTAGCTAGAAAATGTCAGATCAAAAAGCTGGAGGTTTGTACCAGATGCTTGCAGTTGATGCCTGGTTTTCCTGTAAAATGCAGATGCTTGAGCTCAGCATCAGCCTTTATTTTGATTGATTTTGGCTAGAGTACTAGGTGCATGTCCTCTGGCTTAGTAATGGAGGGTGGGGAAAAAACACTTCTGGGCCTTTTCAAGCCAGGGCTTTAGGGTTTAACCTCTGTTGAAAGTATATATAAGTATATAAAGCATATAAGGAACCATTTTCAGCATTACTGAAAAGTGTCTGGCTTTCCCTGGTCCTACCCTTCTTCTTTGGAAGGTAGTTGGGTTATGTGGTCAAGGATGTGTTTTGCTTATATATTCTTTTAGGGAGGCCACTATAAAGTAGCTTACAACCTACAGCGAATGCTAGGAAATATTTCTTGAATTTAGGATTATGAGTGTTTGAATCAGGTAGCTACTTCAAAATAAGAGTTGTTTAGACATGTGAATTAGGATATTCCCCTCTTCAACATGGCTATTATTCTTTCACAATGTCAGTCAACACGTTTTCTGTGCACCTGTTGCCTCATCTGATAAATCACGTGACTTAAGCGTTTAGGAAGGTGAAGAATAGTGACCAGGATGTGACATATAGTTTGAGTGGCAGGAATAATATTTTATACAAGTGGAACTCATGAACTTTTATTATTTCATCTATTTTTCATGTATAGTATTGACCCTGGATTTGACTCTTATGATCTTGCCTTACCATTTCCTAGCTTAGCCCATGGCAGATTGTTTAACCTCCCTAAATTTCTCTGCACTCATGAGTAAATGAGGGTAATAATAGTACCTGAATGACAGGATTGTTGGGAGGATTACTGAGATATATTTTTCTTCTTCATCTTGAACTTTCCAGCTGGGGCCCTGTAAACTGGACAAAAAGATTAATGAGGAAAAAAGTTTATTAACATGTGCATTGCAAATACATAGGGGAACACTCAGGAATGAGTACCTCAAAGAGGTGTTAGAACTTGGGCTTATATATCATCTTAAAAGAACAAGAGAGAAGGGACAAAACAAAGAAAAAGGACTTTGAGCCTGTAGGGGTGGCAAATTGTGGGAAGGCAAATATATGGGGGAACTTATGGGAGATAAGGGGTATAGTTTTAGCAAGGTTTGTTCTGTAGATTCCTCTGGTGTAGATTTCTCTTGGCTGGTAGGGTCTGACGGTGTCTCTTGGGCTTAGCTTCCGTCCTTCCTGGTAGAGAGGGAAAGGGAGACACCTTTACAAATTTATGTCCTGTTTTTAGGCATATAGAGGGGGAGCAGGGAGCTGCTCTTGTATCTGCTTCTTCTCAGTTGCCTTCTGCTCAAAATAATCCTCATGCCAAAGTGGCATATTTTGGGGTGGCATGTTCTATTACCCTTCACATGTACATGACCTGTCACAGGATCTGGTACATAGGAAAGACTCAATAAGTGGTAGTTGGTTTTACTGTTACTATCACGGAAGATCAGTATCAGTAATTTGCTCCAATGGCTGACAAATTCCATTAATCTTATTCATTACAAGATTTTCTTATAATTCTAGGGTTCAAACAGTCTGTGAAAAAATTTTTTTTAAAGATTTTGTTTATTTGAGGGCGCCTGGGTGGCTCAGTTGGTTAAGCGACTGCCTTCGGCTCAGGTCATGATCCTGGAGTCCCGGGATCGAGTCCCGCATCGGGCTCCCTGCTCGGCGGGGAGTCTGCTTCTCCCTCTGACCCTCCTCCCTCTCATGCTGTCTCTCATTCTCTCTCTCTCAAATAAATAAATAAAATCTTTAAAAAAAAAAAAAAGATTTTGTTTATTTGAGAGTGAGAGAGAGCGAGAGCATGAGCGGGGGAGGAGCGGGGGTGGGGGCGGAGAGAGTCTGAAGCAGACTCTGCACTGAGCACAGAGCCTGGTGTGGGCTCAATCCCAGGACCCCAATCATGACCTGAGCTGAAACCAAGAGTCAGATGCTTAGCCGGCTGAGCCACCCAGGTGTCCCAACAGTCTATAAAAATTTATGGTTATAATCTTTTTTTTTAATTCTTCAGTTTTTAATTTTTGTTATGGTTATAATCTTAATAACATCTGATCTGATGAGCTGAGGCCAGAAAAGGTTGTTGGGAAAAGGCCCACAAATACTATTACAAATAGCATGCCACCTGTTCAGGTAAACACGTCTTTCCAGTTGATTCCAGGTGCTTCATTTTCCCTTCTGGTTATTTTATTCTGAAGGTTGAGTGGGTGCTGTTTCAGGATAAACACTTTGTCAGCCCACTTTTCTATGTCCTGACTTGGCCCATCAGACCTTCTCACTCCCTTACATTCCATTTTCTGCAGGCATCTCTTACCTGGAAGCTTTTGGTATTTGTGAGCCTCCCTTATAAAAACCTAAGAACACAGACAATGATTGAGTCATCTTAGCAGTCTGGCTCCTGAGAGTCATCAGGCTGTTACCAAGTTTTAGGAGCTGCTTGAAATAACCACAACTTCATCTATCTCTGTTCCTTTTTCTTCAGTTCCTTTTTTCTTAATTATGAAACAGTAATTCATAGCCATTTCAAAGATATTACATAGTACAAAAAATGTAAAGAAATATAAAGAATATAAAGACAAAAAATCATCCACAATCCTACATACAGAAGCAATCACTATGAAAATTTTGGAGTCAAATTTGGTCTCTTTATGTTATTATTATTTATTATTTTAAGTTTTTATTTATTAAGTAATCTCTACATCCAATGTGGGACTTGAACTCACAACCCCAAGATCAAGAGTCACATGCTCTTCTGACTGAGCCAGCCAGGTTAACATGGCAGGGAACATTCTATCTATACCTATCTATATCTATCTATCTATTTTTTTTTTTAAGATTTTATTTATTTATTTGAAGAGAGAGACACAGCGAGAGAGGGAACACAAGCAGGAGGAGTGGCAGAGGGAGAAGCAGGCTTCCCGCCGAGCAGGGAGCCCGATGCGGGGCTCGATCCCAGGACCCTGGGATCACGACCTGAGCCGAAGGCAGATGCCTAACGACTGAGCCACCCAGGCGCCCCTATTTTTTTTTTTTTTTTTTTGCTTTACCTTCTAATATAAAGATTTGTCATTGTCAAAATGTTTACATTTTAGGGCGCCTGGGTGGCTCAGTTGGTTAAGCGACTGCCTTCGGCTCAGGTCATGATCCTGGAGTCCCGGGATCGAGTCCCGCATCGGGCTCCCTGCTCAGCGGGGAGTCTGCTTCGCCCTCTGACCCTCCCCCCTCTCATGTACTCTCTCTCATTCTCTCTCTCTCAAATAAATAAATAAAATCTTTAAAAAAAAAAAAATGTTTACATTTTAAATAGCTCCATAGTATCTCATTGTATCGTAATTTACTCAAATTAGTCTCACTTTGGGAATTTAAATTCCCGGTTATCTGCATCTATAAATAATAATGGTAATATAAATAAGAATGTATTTATAAATAACAGCCCTGGGGCTCTTAGGTGGCTCAGCCAGTTAAGCGTCTGCCTTCGGCTCAGTTCATGATCCCAGGGTCCTAGTATTGAGCCCCTCATCGGGCTCCCTGCTCATCTTGCTCCTTCCTGCTTCTCCCTCTCCTGCTCCCCCTGCTTGTGTGCTCACTCTTCCTCTGTCAAATAAATAAATAAATAATCCTAAAAAAATAAATAACAATACTACTATAAATAGAAACACTTGCCCCAAATAATTAATAAATTTTTGCCAGTATTGCAACTTATTTATAAGACAGCTTTTTAGAATTATAGTGACAAAGCCTATTTGGTACATAGTGCCAGACTTTTCCCTGAAAGGCTAGATGAATTTTTAATCCTACCTGCAGTATGTAAGAATATACTTCCACTCAACTTTTATCAACAAGGGACAGTCACCTTAAAATTGTTTTCTTAGTGATAGGAAACACATCTTATTTTTTTTATTTTTATTTTTTTAAAGATTTTATTTATTTATTTGACAGAGACAGAGATAGCGAGAGCAGGAACACAAGCAGGGGGAGTGGGAGAGGGAGAAGCGGGCTTCTTGCCGAGCATGGAACCCGATGCGGGACTCGATCCCAGGACCCTGGGATCATAACCTGAGCCGAAGGCAGACGCTTAACGACTGAGCCACCCAGGCGCCCTAACACATCTTATTTTAATATACTTAAAATTTATTAGTGATGTTGATTTCTATATTGCTTTTTTTTCCCTATGGTTGTTAACTGTTGTGAATTTTCTGTTCAAGTACTGGGTTGTTTTTTTTCTGCAAGGTGATAGCATTTTTATTTCTGAGGTTTGGTTTTTTAAAAAAAATACAGAGGGACTACTGGGTGGCTCAGTTGGTTGATCGGTTGATCGTCTGCCTTCGGCTCAGGTCATGATCCCGGAGTCTGGGATCGAGCCCAAGGTCGGGCTCCCTGCTCGGTGGTGAGCCTGCTTCTCCCTCTCCCTCTGCTCCTCCCACCCCGCTCATTCTCTCTCTCCCTCGCTCTCTCACTCTCTCAAACAAATAAACAAAATCTTTAAAAAATATACAGAATTAGATTTTTTACCTTGTGTCATTAACAGTCTATTTTCTTACTGCCGATTTCCTTTGGGTTGGATAAATAATTAATTTGGATTAAATTAATAATAAATAATTAGTTTAGATTAAATACATAATTTCCTTTTGTTTTGGATCTATCTCATGAGTTTACCTAAACTCTTGGAACCTATAGGATTTTTTTTTCTTTTTTTTTTGAAATAAGCTCTAATGCCCAACATGGGGCTTGAACTCAAGACCCCAGGATCAAGAGTTACATGCTCTACCAACTGAGCCAGGCAGGCACCCTGGAACCTATAGGATTTTTTTATGTCCTTCAAGCATCTAGAAGTTTCCCCTTAAACTAATTTTCAGAGTTTGCTGAACAATTCCTTAACCATGTTGAATTACCTTTCCTTTTGGGACTTTTCCTTCAGCCTTTATATTCCCAGACAGAAGAGGCCAGCTTTTTAGTTGGCTTTCCTGAAGAATATCTTTCACCTCTAATTCTATTTGCAGAGAATAGAAATGCATGAAATATTTCCTGTGATTTGTACAGCTGGATCTCAAAATTAAGGTGCATATATGTTGCACATATTCAGGTGCATTTTAAGCTTGTGAGCACATGAGATAAACTTAGAAATTAGGGATTAGTTGGTTTATTTCTCCATGTTTATGCCAAATTGTGTTTTAGCCCTGAGCTATGTTTAACTGATTGTCAGTCTTTTCAGAATGATCCTGCTATCGAGTGTTCCCATCAATGTGTTCCAGGGAAATGAGGATAGGCTGAGAATTAGACTAGGATCTAAATCCTAATGTTAATTTCCTTGTCTAATAACCTTGGACAAATCGTATGACCCTAGGAGGCTTCGTTTCCTTATCTGTGACATGGCAATGTAGTAGTTACCTCTTAGAACGGATGTGAAGATTGAATGGGCTCTCATGAACTACCTCACTAGCTTAAGGTATAAATTTGGTCATGCCTTTTAAAAATTTCTAATCACTTGAATACCTACATGCCAATAAATTTAGGATCGATCCCCTATTTAAAATCTCCTTTACAAATTTTTTTTTTAAGATTTTATTTATTTATTTTAGAGGGAGAGGGAGAGAGAATCCCAAGCAGACTCTGCGCTTAGCATGGAGGCCAGTGCGGGGCTTGGTCCCAGGACCCTGAGATCATGACCTGGAGTTAAAATCAAGAGTCCGACACTTAATCAACTGAGCCACCCAGGTGCCCCTAAAATCTCCTTTATAAATTGACAAGAACCCTAGGGGCTTACTCTTTCAAGGGAGTTTCCTTCCCAGGATGGGGACAAACTGGGAAAAGCCTGGCATCCACTGGTAGGCCCTGGTTTCAGCTGCTACTGTTTTGTCGGGACCTTTTGAATCAGTTGGTTCCACCCAGTCCAGTGGGCTATTACCCATTTCTGCCTTGTCCCTTCTAGTCCAGATCTTTGCATACAACATGGTGGTGCTGAAGCTTGGCCTCTCAAGGTTACTTCTTTTCAGATTACATCCACATACACCAGTCATTGTGTCCTATATCATCCTGTGACATCTGTGCCAGGGTGACTTGATCTAGAGGAAATTGTCATCAGTCCAGATACCCCTTGCTTTCATGGTGGGTAATTGGACTTTAGTATCTTTTCCTGACAGTGGACCTCAGCTGAAACCATCCTAATTCATTTGAGAAATTCTGATAGCACCACATTTCAGAAGGTAAGAGTCCAAGGTCACTTTCACTTTCAGGAAGCTCCTAACATCCACTAAGCAATGCAGCCCCCTTCTCCCCAGCTATCAGAGCTGAGTACCAAGCAGAAGCTCCTATCACATTGTCCTTGATGACGAATGTCTTATTAAACTCAAATTTGGATAACCAAGAACGGCCTTTGAGTGACTTACAAAAAACAAAGAAGGTCTGCCAAAGGCCTTTTTGACATTATCCAGACAGAAATAATGTGATACCTTCTCTCACTAAAGTAAAAAAAAAAAAAAAAAAAAAGTTCTGCTTCACTAGATACAGACACATATGTATAAAGGACCTAGCATGCCCTGTCACCTAGTAGGTACTTAGAAAATGTTTGGTCTCCCTCCTCCAATCTTCCTCAGCTCAACCACATCTCTGCCCCCTTCAGCTGGAAACACAAAGCTTTCCAGAGACCCAACTCGTTCCTAAGTGTCCATATCTCTGCTTAGCTTTACATTGATACAGCTTTACATTACATTGGTTCTGGGTTGTCTTCTTTTTTTTTTTTTTTAAGATTTTTAAAATTTAATTTCATTTTTAATTAATTTATTTAATTTTATATTAAGATTAATTAATTGATTAATTTGTCAGAGAGAGAGAGCACAAGCAGGGGGAGTGGCAGGCAGAGGGAGAAGCAGGCTCCCTGCTGAGCAGGGAGCCAGCCCCATGCAGGACTCAATCCCAGGATCCTGGGACCATGACCTGATCCGAAAGCAGATGCTTAACCACTGAGTCACCCAGGTGTCCCCCGGGTTGTCTTCTGACAGGCTCACCAAGCTTGGTGTAACCGTTGGCTTATTCTTGGGCATGAATCAAGAGTTGGTGGCAGTAGGTCTTCATGCTGACCTCTGATGGCCTCCAGCAAGGTTCTAACTTCAGAGCTGCTTTTTTTTTTTTTTAAAGATTTTTTATTTATTTATTTGACAGAGAGAGACACAGCGAGAGAGGGAACACAAGCAGGGGGAGTGGGTGAGGGAGAAGCAGGCTCCCCACTGAGCAGGGAGCCTGATGCGGGGCTCGATCCCAGGACCCTGGGATCACGACCTGAGCCAAAGGCAGACGCTCAACCGACTGAGCCACTGAGGCGCCCCTTCAGAGCTGCTTTTAAGGTGTCTTTGCCTAAGCCAGTTGATACTTTCTTCAAATAGTCAGATTTTTTTTAATTTTTATTTTTTTAAAGATTTTATTTATTTATTTGACAGAGCGAGACACAGTGAGAGAGGGAACACAAGCAGGGGGAGTGGGAGAGGGAGAAGCAGGCCTCCCGCTGAGCAGGGAGCCCGATGCGGGGCTCGATCCCAGGACCCTGGGATCATGACCTGAGCCGAAGGCAGACGCTTAACGACTGAGCCACCCAGGCGCCCCAGTCAGATTTTTTTTTTAAAGATTTATTTCTTTATTTTAGTGGGGGAGTGGCAGAGGGAGAGGGAATCTCAAGCAAACTCCCCACTGAGCGGGCTCAATCTCACGACCCTGAGATCATGACCTGAGCCAAAACCAAGGGTCGGACGCTCAACCGACTGAGCCACTCAGGTGCCCCTCAAATTGTTAGATTTTATTTTACATTTGACCCCAGGATCATGACCTGAGCCGAAGGCAGATGCTTAACCAGCTGAGCCACTCGGGCACCCCTTAATTTGTAGTTTTATGTAGCAAACATGCTCAGAGCACTTTGTCATGGAAAAGAATTTGCTAATCCAAAAATAAACAATGCATAGCTAATATCCCTCTTAAGGCAGGTAGAGGTTATAAAGTGTGCCTTGTCACCAACTGTTGCCCCATAAAGAAACTTTATGCTTTCTGTGAGAAAGGGTGTGACATCTGCTCTTTTGTAGGTTTAGTTTCATGGAACCATATTTTCCTTGTCTGGTTTTCCAATGAAATGTGTGTCTGTGTGGTTAAGACACACACAAGGGCCCCTGGGCCACTGCGGTCAGAGGCTGGCCTCAGACTCTGCCTCCAGCCTTCAAGGCAAGCTCTTTATTACATTCTCTTGCAGGATTCCCAGACCTCACCACGAGGCTTAGGGGTGTGGCATCTCAAAGCCGACTCTGTTCTCCAAAAGAAAGTGACAGCTTCCTTGTATTATTTTGGGTACATAAATGAGTTTCCACATGTTTGATGAAACAAACCAGGTGCTTAATACCATATTATTCTTACAGGTATTTAATTATTGGCTTCAGATACAAATTCTAGTAGAAATAGAAGAAAAACTGAGGGGTGCCTGGCTGGCTCAGTTGGTAGAGCATGCAACTCCTGATCTCAGGGTTATGAGTTCAAGCCCCACGTTGGGTATGGAGCCTACTTAAAAAATAATAAATAGGGCATCTGGGTGGCTCAGTTATTAAGTGTCTGCCTTTGGTTCAGATCATGATCCCGGGGTCGTGGGATAGAGCCCCACATTGGGCTCCCTGCTCAGCTGGAAGCCTGCTTCTCCCTCCCACTCCCCCTGCCTGTGTTCCCTTTCTCGCTGTGTCTCTGTCTGTCAAATAAATAAATAAAATCTAAAAAAAAAAAAAAAGAAGAAAAACTGAGACCAGTTCTGAAGCACTCCTGAAGAGATCCTTACTCCCTCCTGACATTTCCTTAACTGATCTTTTGCTTTAATTTTTTTTTTTTTAAAGATTTTATTTATTTATTTGACAGAGACACAGAGAGAGAGAGAGAGTACAAGCAGGGGGAGTGGCAGGCAGAGGGAGAAGCAGGCTCCCCGCAGAGCAGGGAGCCCGATGCGGGGCTCGATCCCAGGATCCTGAAATCATGACCTGAGCTGAAGGCAGACGCCCAATGACTGAGCCACCCAGGCACCCCTGCTTTAATATTTTCAACAGAAATGTTTTGCTAATGCGAGGAGGAGTGGCTTTGGCTTAGCACCTTTGTTTTTTCCAGTTGGTCTTCCTCTCCACAAAACATTGCATCCTAGTTCTTTGAAATCCCCACTGAATTTGGAGAAATTATGTCTTGGCACTCAACCTATTTTCCTGGAACACAATGTGATGCTGACGACACAGCCCAGTCACTCCACTTGACAATAAATTTGCTTGTCTCATTTCACTTGAATATTCAGTGGTGAGTAAGAACGGAAGTGGAAAGCCTTACTTACCACAGTTTATTATATGTTTCGTGCCCATGATAATTACTTTTATAAGGCCATTCATGAATACATTGATCAGATTAGGCTGAATCACCTGGCTGGCCAATAGCCATCGGAATGATTCTCCATGCATGACTTGGTTGCATTATTACAAAACGTGGAAGAAGAGACCTGCCCAGCCAGCGCGGCAGATGTTCATTTGTGATGCTGCCTTAAGGAGATGAAGAGATGAGAGCGAATTGTTCCAGCAGCTCAGGCTGCACTGCTAACAGTTCGGAGGGGGAGCTGCCTGTGGGACCGGAGGTACATGGGAACCTCGAACTTGTTTTCACAGTGGTGTCAGCCGTGATGATGGGCCTGCTCATGTTCTCCCTGGGATGCTCTGTGGAGTTCCGGAAGCTCTGGGCGCACATCAGGAGACCCTGGGGCATTGCCGTGGGGCTGCTCTGCCAGTTTGGCCTCATGCCTCTCACAGCCTATCTCCTGGCCATCAGCTTCTCTCTGAAGCCAGCCCAGGCTATTGCTGTTCTCATCATGGGGTGCTGCCCGGGGGGAACCATCTCTAACATTTTCACCTTCTGGGTCGAAGGAGATATGGATCTCAGGTAAGGTACACTAGGGAAGCCCAGAGGTCACCCCCTGATAGCACTGACACTTCCGTGTTAAAAACTCTGCTGATCTTTAGGTAGGGGTTCCAGTGGGCAGCGTTTTATGGAGTTCAGTCTTGGAAGGACTTTCCTTTCCGAGCTTAAAATGTACTGTGCTGTGATCGTCCTCTGTGTTATTGGCAACTGCTTCTCCGAGTAGTAGGGCTTGTTTCATATGTAATAGAGGAGGCAGGTTTCCTCCTGCCCCGATGGCCTGTCCTAGGCATGAACTCATTCTCGCCCATCCCGGCAGGGTTAGCAGTCCTGGCTCCCAGTCTCCCAGGACACAGGCTGAGAATCCCAGGAAGCTCACGACAGGGGTCTGTTTGGTGGTGGTGGGAGTGGTGGTGGCAGAACCAGAATGACACCCTCCCAGCTCTAGTTAGCACGCGTTACCTTTGCCTCTATTTTATGAAACAAGTATTTGGGGGCATTGGATAAAGGAGCTTTTGGGGTGTGTGACAGACATGTCCTGTTTTAAGTGCTGGTGGTGGCCTGTTGAGTTGACCTGAGGAGCAACATAAAGGCTTTTATGACAAAAAATGTTCTTTCTGGTTGCTTTGCAGAGTAAACATTCATCACTAGAAATCTCCTTCCTTTGGTTTAAGCCAGGGACCTTATTTCCAATTGTGTTGTGAATAAATGCCCCTGGGAAACATTAGGCTTTATCATTCATTTACACTTTAATGAGGATGAATTAATCACATATCTTTGGGAGTACCTGTTTCGATGCTGAAAAAAGGGCATTTGAAGAAAGAATAGAGGGGATGCCTGGGTAGCTCAGTCGGTTAAGTATCTGCCTTTGGCCCAGGTCATGATCCCAGGATCCAGGGATGGAGTCCCGCATTGGGCTTCTTGTTCAGCGGGGAACCTGCTTCTCCCTCTGCCTGACTCTTCCCCTGCTTGTGCCCTCTCTCTCTGACAAACAATAAATAAATAAAATCTTAAAAAAAAAAAAAAAGAAAGAATAGAGAAGGCACAATTGGAAAAATAAAAGCAAAAAATGGTGGTGTTTCTAGATTCTTTGTTTACTTATGAACTGCTTCACCTCCTTCCCAAGGGAAGAATGACTTATGAATGTAAATCTTTGTTCGATGTGTATGTCATTTAGTTGAGATTTATTATGCAACGCACGAACGAATCAGAGGTGCTGATGGTGCTGGGAGTTCACGTCAGTGAACCAGCTACAGGTCTGTGTTTCTAGTTCTCTGTGTGTGCTGAATGCTCAGTGTATGAATATGTTTCACCTGTGAATTTTAATGGGTTCATTCCAGGCAGATGAATTAATTTTCATATGACAATGCTTTGAGTTACCCACTTATCAGGGGTTTGGAAAGAATCACTGATTCAAAAAAATGCATTAATATACACTGCTAATTCCAATTACATCAAGTTGATCATTAACATAATAATTGGAAGATGATAAATATTCTTTACACAGTCTACATATCAGTGATAAATTAGTGGGACCTAAATATTTTTGGAAAGAAAAAGGGCATTTTATGAATTGAGTATGTTGCTAGGCATAAGGTAGTTGCTTTCATGTACTCTTTCTCTTCTTTCTTGGTTCTCATAATAACCTTGTAAGTGACCTTTTATTATCCTGAATGTTACAGCTGAGAAAATGGTGACTCAGATTGGTTAAGGAGGTTGCCAAATGCTACAGCCAAGTATGGAAGAAGGCAGATGTGAATTCACATCTGTTTCTCATCAGTCTGCAATTTAGGCACTTTCTTCCATGCCATTTATTAACACAACTCAATCTTCTGAGTAGGAGCATAAATCTTAAACCAGTGTTCTCAAACACTTCTGCTCTGGGAAAGAGAACATTTATTAACTTCATCTTTTATTAGCCGACATTGTAATAAAAATACCAGTGAATAGGAAGTCTATAAAAATAAAGCTCATTTTGCTTCCTTTTGCCAACTCTGTCCTTAATTAGCCTCATGTTAGTCAAATTATTTAACCTATAAACCTCATCTCCTCATTTGTAAAATGGGTTAAAATTACCTATTCCCCACAAGACTGTATTTTTTTTTTAAAAGATTTTATTTATTTATTTGACAGGGAGAGAGACAGCAAGAGCAGGAACACAAGCAGGGGGAGTGGGAGAGGGAGAAGCAGGCTTCCCGCCGAGCAGGGAGCCCGATGTGGGGCTCGATCCCAGGACCCCGGGATCATGACCTGAGCCGAAGGCAGACGCTTAACGACTGAGCCACCCAGGCGCCCCACAAGACTGTATTTTAAGGAGAAGATATACACTCAGGATGCCAGGCACATGATAGGTATGCAATAAATATTAACTGCTTCTCCCCCCCTTTTTTATTTTAAGATTTTATTTATTCATTTGATAGAGAGAGAGCACAAGCAGGGGGAATGACATGCAGAGGGAGAAGGAGAAGCAGGCTCCCCGCTGGGCAGGGAGCCCAATGTGGGACTGGATCCCAGGACCCCAGGATCATGACCTGAGCCAAAGGCAGACACTTAACCAACTGAGCCACCCAGGCGCCTCTCTCCCCTTTTTTAAAATTCTGATTTAAAATCTCACAAACAAAACAAAAAATAAGAAAAAACCAAAACCCTATAAGAAATGAAATTTTTAAATGGTGACTAAACATTAGATTTTCAAAAGCTTATCAATACGAGTAATCAAATCTTAATCTCAGTAAAAATTGCAAATAGGAGAATATTCAGTATTCTTGATTGAGACCGTATCCAAATTCATTACATTTCTTCCCACTTGATTACCAACAAAAATAACTTTTAAGCAAAAAAAAAAAAGTAGTCCTTGATAGGAATTCTGTTTTCATGCTAGATAAAATTCGTAAGACTTTAGAAGAACATCTTCATTTCACAAAGGAGGAAATTGAGGTTTAGCTCTGTGCAGATCTCCCAAACATATGTCTCATGCCTTAATTCTGTGCTTCATTCAATCTACCTGCAGTTCTCCATGTGTTCACCCCAAGCAGGGCATTTCAGAATCAACATGTATGAACCAGTTTCTGCATTTTGCATATCTGATGATAACACCCATCACTGTCCCAGTTACCTGGGCTCAGCATTCTCCTGTGGCTCCTTTCATTCTTCTGCTCATTCACTGAATCCAACGTCTAGACTTATAGCCCATCCTCTTGCTTGTCACTCACAACCGGTGCTTCCTCATTTATCTCCACTGCCAGTTCCTTAAGGCAGGACCTCGTAATTTCTTTCTTGGCCAACTGCAGTATCTTCACAGTCTTCTCTCCACCTTGGGTCTCTCCACCACGGTTTTATAGTATGTGGATGAGGCAGGCTCTGGGGTCGGAATGGTCTATATTTAAATCCTGACTTGGGACCTCTTTCCAGTAACTGGAAATCATAACACTTCCCTATGGTATTGTAAAGAGAAATGAATGTGATGCATATAAAGGCTTCTCAACACCTGCTAACTTGGGTAGACATTAAGCCAGGTCTAACCTACTTCTCCGGGTTTATTTCCCAATAAGCACAAAATAGTCTGTAGTCAAAATGGACTACTCACTGTTCTCTGAACATATCCCACACTTTCCCAACTTCCTTTGCCCATGTTGTTCCCACAGCCTGGACTGCCTATTTGGTCCCTTCTAGTCATAATATTATCCTTCATTATAGTTGTTCTGGAAAGCAACTGGCTGTTATGTATGAAGAGCCTAAAAAATTACCCTGTTCCTGGACTGAGCTCAGCTAGTCTTGGCTGGGTTCTTTTACATGTTTGGGGACTGGATAAATGTAGATTGGTCTTGGATGGCCTCATCTGGGAATACTGGATTCTCTTCCACATGGTCTTTCATTCTCCAGCAGGCTAGCCTAGACCTAATCATATGACAGAGGCAGGGTTCTGAAAAAGAAGAAGCATACAAGGTCTCTTGATATCTGGGCTGGACACCATTTCATCATCACGTCCACCACATCCCACCGGCCGATGCATTTTGCAAGGCCAGCCCAGATTCAAGGACTGGAGAAGTAGATGCTGCCTCTTGGTGGATGTGCTGCAAGGTCACATTGCAGAGGGCATGCCTAAGAATGGGGTGAAGAACTGGGGTTATTTTTGCAATCTACCGTACTAAAGATGGACAGAAGTCTTGCCTTTGAGGGTAGGACGTGAAAACTAAGATGTGGCATTAGACTGTCGTAGTGAAGTGCACCGTGGAGCCAGCACGTAGAGCTGTCACTTACTAACTGGGTCATCTTGGCAGATCATATAAAGTCTTTATGCTTCAGGGGTGCCTGATAGCTCAGTCAGTTAAGCGTCCGACTTGATTTTGGCTCAGGTCATCAGCTCAGGGTTGTAAGACCGAGCCCCACCTTGGGCTCCATGCTGGGCGTGGAGCCTGCTTCAGATTCTTTCTCCCGCTCCCTCTGCCCCACCTTCTCCACTTGTGTGCTCTCCCTCTCGCTAAAATTAAAAAAAAAAATTCTTATGTTTCAGTTTCCTCACTTCTAAAATAGGGGGAAGCATAATCTACCTCATGAGTTGTTGTGAGGGTTGAATGAATATCTATAAAGTGCTTAGAATCTCAGCTGACACAAAATGCCATGTGTCATTATATGGGGCACTGTGTCAGGGTCTGTGGCTTAGTCTCTGCCCAAGAAGCTGTGTGACTGAGCAGTTTACTCCTCGGACCTCACTTTCCTCTTTTGTAGAATCAATGAATTAGACTCTCTGAGTCTAACTGAGTTTTGTACATAACATAAAACCGACCATTTTAATCCTTTTCGAGGGTACAGGTCAGTGGCATCAGCCCACTGACACTGTGCGGTCACCAGCGGCCACCTCTCCATAGTTGTCATCTCAAACTGAAACTCTGTACTCATTACACAGTAACTCCCCTTTCCCTTCAGACCCTGCCAACCACCATTCTCCTGTCTGTCTCTTTGAACTGGACTAAATATCTCATATAAGTAAAATCATAAAATGTTTGTCCTTTTGTATCTGGCTT